GAGTTTTGACCTTAGACTGGGTTTCGACGTAGGCCTAGTCCACTACACTTTGGTTACATAGGCCCACTTAGCCCTAAAAGCAACCCCTACACCACTCCCACAGCACCCCCACAGAATGTGTCGGGAAACATGGTCCTAAGCCTACCTCAGATCCACCAAACACGTCACAAGTCACATAATCCTCTTAGCAAACCAGATCTTTAGCACCACATTGCCTCTTGAAATATTGACTCAATAGTTAGGGTTTTACCAAGCAAATGCAGCATAATTTACATAATTTGAATACATTTCCCAACCAAAGATATTAATTCGGTTAAATTCAATTCAGTTTATTTATATAGCGCCAAATCACAACAAAGTTGTCTCAGGGCACTTTACAGGAATATTCACATACTTTGTACATAAAAGCCAATTAGTAAAGTTCTCTATCTAAGGAGGATTAAGAATAAGAGGTAGCCATTAATTTATTGAACAGCAATTTTTTTTTTTCATTTTTGGATCTGCATTCAGCAATATAAAAACATGATTACCAAAATGACTAAAATAGATTCAAGGCCAGTTCACTTGGGTGGAATACAGTGAAATCTTTGTTTTAGGAAAAATTGTCAGAAAAAAACAATTGTTCATGATTACACTTGAAGTAATAGTAACTTGCATGTTTGCTGAAATCTACTTAAAAAATTTTCACAATAGAACTCAAGGGCAGCACGGTGGCGCAACTGGTAGAGCTGCTGCCTCTCAGCGAGCAGGTCACCCTGGTTCAAATCCCGGTCCGGGGTCCTTTCTGGATGGAGTTTGCATGTTCTCTCCGTGCATGTGTTGGTTTTCTCCGGGTACTCCAGTTACCTCCCACAGACCAAAAACATGCATGTTAGGCTGATTGGTAACTCTAAATTGTCCCTAGGTGTGTGAGAGAGAGCGAATGGTTGTTTGTCTCATTTGCCTCTATGTGTCCCTGTGATGGACTGGAGACATGTCCAGGGTATACCCCGCCTCTTGCACAGTGATTGCTGGACATGGGCATCGGCGACCCCCTCAAACCAAAAATTAAAGAAACGGGTAAAGATAATGGATGGATGGATGGATGGATGGAACTCATTGATGTTAATTAGTAAAAGTAGGAACATGTTCACATGCCAAATGTGAATAAACTCAGTGGCAGCTCCTGAGCAAAAATATTAGTGGGTTGTACAAATTCCTGATTTAATAGCCCCATCATTTTTTACAAATTGTGTTATGTTTTCTGTGAAAAAAATAACTAACAAACAATCAAACGGATATATGTTGCTTAATATTTAATTTATTGTTGTTGTTCTGTTGTGCATTTGTCTACAAAGTGTTTTCATTTTTTCTACATCCCATGGGTCGAGGTTGTGTCTCATGAAAAACAGTCCTGTCTAATAAATCAGAGAAACGGACCCCTCCTACCTCCAGCCGGCAGGTGCACAGCTTTCTGAATTAGATTTATCATTAGATTTGCAGTAATAATTCTGAAATAATACTTCTAATTAGCACAGTTAAATGGAAAAAAAAGTTCAGTGATGTAACTAAAATAATAGAAAGTGAAAAATGATGATACAGTTTATCATCACTGAATCAAATAGAAGATTCAAGTAGAGATCAAACCCATAAACACAGTTACAAGGCCACTGCTTGAACCATTGACCCACTACAACCACTCACACACAGAAGCCACAGAATTGTTTACATGTTGGAGAACATTTCCTGTTCTTTGATTTTTTTTCTCTGTTCTTCTGTTCTGGTCCCCTTGTTCTGCTCCAAATGGGTTTAAAAACAGAATATCTCCACTGTTGGGCTCAGCAAGTTTCATTGCAACTGTTCCTGAGTTTGAGCTCACGGCAAGTCTAGGTAGAGGTCGTATCAATATGCTAAAACCAGCCGAATGTGACCACAGGACAGAAAATCAGACACCACAAATAAAACTATTGGACCTGCCTGTTCAGATCACTGGCCGCACATTTGGATCTGCTTGATGAACGCGGTTCGTTGAACGGTACTCCCCCATAAGAGTAAATAAACAAAATAAAATAAAAACTGAGATTGAATTGCTAAAATAGTTTTAAATTCCATTTAAATTGTCAAAATAGTTGAAAATACACAGAACCAAACAATACACAGCAAGCTCAGTAAAAATAATAATTTATGTTGGTTTTTTGGGAGGAACTACTTTATGGGAAGAATTGTTTTTTTTCCTCTTATGCACCAGACACCACTAAATAAAGTACAACTTTTGGGGCTGTGTAGCCTCAAGAAACTCACTTATCAGTGGGACTAATAGAAAAGAAAACCTCCAATTTGCTGCGGAGTATAATTGGACCCTTGGTGTAATGGAAAGGGGACATTGGATCTGATGAGCTCAGATTTTTTTATGCTTCAGATTGTTAGGCACATCGGGATGAGAAATGCAGTGGATGATGTGAATCTTTTAGCCACCTACTAATCTGTTGGGTTTCTGTTGCATTCATGGGACTACTTTAGAGGTTCAGGTCAGCAACTTCATGTCACCAAAATAATTTAGTCAAATCACTAAGGGACTAAGATTCCTTTCTCCTTTAAACAGATTTCTTTCTCATCGGCTGTGTGGGGATATTCCAAAGTGGCAATGTCAAGATTCATTGAACTCACATTGTAAAAGTATATGGTTCGGGAAGCATAAAATATATTGTTTTCCATTCCCTTCAACCATCCAGCTGAATTCAGACAACACTAAAATGAGCTGAGGGTTTGAAAACTGAACATTTAAAGCTGAGATCAGATAGACTGAGCTGCTGCCTGTCTGTTGATATAGTTCATCAATGCATCTAATTAAAACCCACTTGTCCAAAGTCACACCGTTTCACTTCAATTTTAAACCGAAACTGCAAATAAAACATAATAAACATAAATGGCCCACTTAAAATCAAAATCAAATAATGACATGTATTGTGTCCCCTTGTTGGGCTTCTTTGGATCTGTGTGTCTTTTTTGCTTATCTGGCTGGAGGCCACATTAAAGCAGCTATAAATGGCCCATAATCCCTCTCTGCTTGGCATTTGTCTTCAAAGAGATTTGTTTTAAAAGCAGATCCCATGATGAGGTGAACAACATGCTGACACTCAGCAGACGCGCGGCTGTACTCAGAGCTCGGAGTTGCCTTCATGTTTCCCTCATGACAAACGGCATCAAGTTGTGCTGGTAATGCTTTGCTTCAGGTGGAATTAATGACATAAAAAGATTAATATTTTTATATAATGACAAATGAGCAGATATTTCAATGACATCTATTACTTTTAAACCGATGAGAGAAACTTTGGTGAAGGTCGTTTATAATATGAACTGATTTCCTTTTAATAAATGTACAAAAGCGGGGCTGACATGTTCTTGCCTGCGTGTGTATTTACACAAGTGTTAGAAAAATATTGCATAAAGCACAGGATCAATTTTAATAAAACCTTCAGTAAGTAATCATTGAATTTACATCTACAACTGATAAATAATTGCAGTCAAGCTAATTCAATTCTATGACATTTACATTCCCATTTAATTAGTAAAAATCACATGTTAAACTAAAGACAGCTGCTGATCCAAATAGCTACTAAAACAAAGACATTTAAAAATGTATTATGCATTCCAGATTTTTACCATATTCTGGAAGGCCTTGTGATTTTAAAATTTTACGGTAAAAAGTTAAATTAACTAACATTCAGAAAAACTGAGATAAAGCTTTAGAAGGATGAATGTGTCATAGATCCATCTGAATAAAGTCACAAATGTAAACGAAGATCACATTATTTTAGACATTGTAAAAACTAGTCTGGAAAGCAGCATCCTCCTAAAGTGGACTCACGCTTCTGAAAAGTGTCACTTCAGTTGCTATTGACCTTTAATACGTCCCCGTATTTATCAGAGCAGCTGGACATCTATACAACAACACGAAAAAATAAATAAATTATGAAAAGCTGGTTGAAGGGCAGATTGGGAGGACATAATGTACTTTTTGAATTTCAGTGCACTTACAGCCTCCTACTTTTATGGTCAAAGCTAATAAATCACAGAATAAGCTAGGTTTGAAGCCACTCGGGGTTCACCATTATGGTTATGTGATCATTTACGCTTCCAGCAACAGTTTATTAAATAAAAATGAACTTTTCAACATGTCTGAACACCATCCAGCCTTTCTTAACCTTCCACCTTTTTTGCTTTCAGGTTCTGCAGATTTGTCCAAAAGACATGAGAGCAGACATCTGTGTTCATCTCAATCGGAAGGTTTTCAAAGAGCACCCTGCTTTCCGACTGGCCAGTGATGGGTGTCTCAGAGCTCTGGCCATGGAGTTTCAGACCATCCACTGTGCTCCTGGTGATCTGATCTACCACGCTGGGGAAAGCGTGGACAGCCTCTGCTTTGTGGTGTCAGGATCCTTGGAGGTTATCCAGGATGATGAGGTGGTGGCTATTTTAGGTGAGCTTACTCTACTCTTGCTTTCTCTAAACAAGTGCAAAGTTTAGTTGAGTTAGAAAAGGATAATATAGATCGTTTATATATATTATATAATATATACTGTGTATATATATATATATATATATATATATATATATATATATATGTCTTTAATATAGATTAACTGCTTTTGTTTGACGTACGTTAGATCCAAATTTATTTTCAAAGTCAAAGTTTCTTAATTTGTCATTCACACCACATGTAGTACATGTGGTGGAACAAAATTGTGTACACAGGGTCCCAGTTACATCCAACAAAAGTATAAAATGTAAAAGAAAACCAGTATTAAGATCTAAGATATGAGCTAAGTAAAACATTAAACTAAAAATACGCTAAGTACTAGTAGTACAAAAACAATATGCTGAACAGCCGCACAAACATGAGGCTGTGCGAGCAGATGAGTATGAATGAACACAGCAATCATGCAATAAATCAGCAGCATGCGATCAGCAGCAACAATAATTTTCATTGCAGTTTGACAAATAATTGTAAACGGATTAAAAAAAAAGTGAGACTGTCAGCAAAACTGTGCACTTTTCTCCATGATCAAGTCAAAGAAAGGGGTAAAATGGTAAAATATTTGATGCTTATCTTTTAGTCCTTTATTTTTCACTTTAATCCTGACTTTTGCTGTCTGATAGTTGATAAACTATAGAAAAAACTGATCAAACATTTTAAAAGTATGAATCATACACAGTAGTCCCTCGCTACTTTGCAGGTTGTTTATCGCAAATTCGCTATATCGCGGTTTTTCGAAATAAAATTGGACATGACGCAATTGGCTGATTGATGGACGAGCCATGGATTGTTTATTTAAAATGAATTATTTTAAATGATTTTGCACCATGTGTGCAGCCCACAAGTGCAAGTGAAAGCTCCCTCCTGCAACTGCGCAGCTGATCTCCTTCTCTGCCACAAACATTTCTCCTCCGGCTGCATCGGCTTTGTGAAGGGTTGTTCAGATGCACCGATCGACTTTTGTCTTCCAATTTAAAATTCAAAGTATGTCACATCGTAAAATCGTCATAATCACAAAATATAAAAGTGTTGAAAGTTATTTTTAATTATTTTAGAACTTCCATGTTCAGTTGTTGAAGTGTAATTGATCAAGAAGTACATTTCTGCTCTGTGCTGCAGAGCTGAAGCTGTGTGACATCCCTTTGATGTCCTGCTGTGCTTCTCTTCTCTACAATTTAAAATTTAAATACTGTAATATTTTAAATAAACAATCCATGCTGCATGGATTGTTTATTTAAAATATTACAGTATTTAAATTTAAATTATTTATTTATGTAGGGCGATTGGGAGTAACAGGTGAAGAGTGAGTGTGCTTACAGCCTGGCACATGTCATGACAAAGTTTACTGAACTTGAACTGAACTTGAACTTGGACTACCGTATCCCTACTTCACGGTTTTTCACTAATCGCGGATGGGCCTGGTCCCTAACACTACTGTGCACAGTTAAAAATTCAGTTTACTCCTGAAGTTTAGTTCATAAGAGACATGGTTCAGTCTTGTTCTTAATGAGTTGTTTGAAGCCCCCATCCTCCTGCAGAGCTGCTTAAATATAATTCAATATAAACTTAGTTCAGCTGTGACACAAATACAATTATCTGAATTAATTACCTTAGAAGTCCATCAACTCATAAAAAAAACCCAACAACCTATGAGTGATGACAGCAGACATGCTGTTTCATCAAATATACCCTCCTATACTATTCAAGCAAAACCATTTTCTCACCATGAAAACAGCCTGATTTGGTTCGTAGCGCTAAAATCACCTTCCTGTTTCTGTGCAGGAGCACTTCACGAGCTGTCACTTACTTCAGCGAAAAGCTGATCAGCTCGAGGATCATTTTCTGCTGAGTGATGGTTCAGGATTTGGACAAGAATCTGTTTGCTACAGTCTGATACACAATCCTCTCAGCTCTGTAAACAGTCTGCTATTTTTTGTTTTCTGTGAGTCACATTCTGTCTCCTCACTTATTCTGGAACCATACGTAATTAAACAACAATACCTATTAGGACACACATGTTGGTACTGATTGTTTGCAGTTAATTGCTGTTATAAGATTAGCACAATTTACAAGTTGTCTCGATGGGTTTGTATTTTAGCTCTGTAAGAAATAAGAATTAATAGAAACATAAAATGATTATTTTTTCTACAACTTTCTGATCCTCTAAGACCATGCTTTGGGATTTTTTTTGCCTTTCTGTGAGCAGAAAGTCACAGATGGGAAGTCGTCTAAGGGTTCAGATCGATACCTGTGTCACACACTCCTGACAGTGGCGTGTGCTGAACGCGTCGCAGTGCCTGACTGGGACCAATTTTCATTGATTTTTAGACCAGGCTTTGCCAATTTGCTGCTAGTTTAATTCTATCTGCGGAGTAAAGGTCTTTGGGAGTCCAACAGTGAAAGTAACAGCATTGACCTGTACGTACCTGACACACACACACACACACGCTGGTTTATTTGTTATTTTAGGAGGAAGAATTGAGCAGATCTTATTATAGACAAAATTAACAATCAGGTGTGCTTTAAATAATCATTTATTCAACAAAGGATAGTTTTTCAATGGAATTTAGGCAGCTATAATTAACATATTATTCATAGAATCATGTGTTACTAATCTAAACTATTAATTTTTAACTCAAAATGTATTTTCTTGATGAGCTGTAATTAAAAACAAATTAAAAAAATGTCAACTTTCCATTAATTACCTTTGAGTTAAAACCCAGTCTAAAGTAATTTAATTTACTAATTGAATGCGCTGGCTACTAACTCCCAATTATTCCTAATTTTTCCAATAGTGGTTTTATTATAATGTAGGCATCTGGATTTATTGGACTAAGACCTTTGAGTAAATGAGATCTTACTCAACTTGATGAAACAGATGGCGGTCCGAGCCCATCAGACCGGCTCTAGTCGTGCACGCTAATGAATATTGATGCGTTTCTCTCCCACAGCAGCTTCATTTGAGCCTGCTTATCAGGAGCAAAAGAAATAAAAGAAAAAGCAGACATTTTTGTTGTTGGTTAAAGTCATGCAGCTTTCTTTTTTATTCAAACGTAATTGATTTAGTGAAAGATAGATGGTAGGTCTGGTGATATCTTTTCATCAGTAACCTGCTGTCTGCTCCTTTTTGGATAAATTGATACTATTGGTCTGAAGGAGACAGTAATGGAGGCTGAAGCCATGGACTAGATACTGAGCCAGTGTTTTATTAACTTAATGGCATTATGGACAAAAACAACAAAAGTACATCTCCAAGCGAGATGGAAAATCTCTTATTTAGGATTTTTCAAGTACAAATTCTTCAGTGGTTTTATCAGACATCACTGTCAGTTTATTGTGTTTGTTGTTTGTATATAAAACAAATTGCTGTCGTAATCATTCAGTAAAGTGTTTGTCATATATTGTGATGTCTGTTAGCTCTGTTTTTAGAAAATATGGGATCTCCTTTCATTGTTACGCAGATGATGCACAGATATATGTCCCGCTAAAGAAATAGGTTTCTAACTCTCTGGGCACTCTGTTTTCATGTCTGAAAGACAAAAGTCTGGATGGTTGTGAACTTTTTAAAGTTTAATGAGGGTAAGACTGAGGTGCTGGTCTTTGGAAGTTCCACTGAGACCCCCTATGTAGATGTTGGTTCCTTGGCCCAGTATATCAGGCCAATTACTGGTATTACAAACCTAGGGGTCAAAGTCTATGCTGGACTAAAGTTAGAAAATCACATCAGAGCAGTTGTTAAATCCAGTTATTTCCATTTGATGCAGCTAAAGTAAAGCCAATTCTTTCATGGTGGTATTTTGAAACAGTAGTTCATGTCTTTTGACCACTCGGCTGCATTACTGTAACACACTCTATACAAGAATCCGTGGTTCATGTATCGTTCAGCTTCAGACGGTACAGAATGCTGCTGCACGGTTTTTAACTGGCACACAAGAGTTTGACCACATTTCACCTGTTTTAGCCTCCCTGCACTGGCTGCTCGTACATTTTAGGATTAATTTAAAAAATATTTTATTTACTTTTAAAGCTCTTAATAGACTTGCCCCGCCCTATCTGTCTGAGCCGCTACATCCATACACACCCTCTCCATCCCTCAGGTCATGTGATCAGCTGCTCCTGAGTGCGCCGAAGACAAAGCGTAAGCTCAGAGGAGGCCGTGCTTTTGTTGTGGCAGCTCCTAAATTATGGAACGACCTTCCCTTGAACATCAGACAGACCTCTTCCCTGTCTGTTTTTAAATCCCTTCTTAAAACCATCTCTTCTCCCTGATCTTTGACACCATCTGTGATTTTGACTTTTAATAATTTTAACTATTTTTTCTTGACTGATTGTACGATTGTTTTATTATGTGTACAGCACTTTGGTCCTATGGGTGTTTAAAGTGATCTATAAATTAAGCATGGTATGGTATGGTGTTAATGGCTTTGATTGTACATCTTGATTTTCTAAGACTCGTGTCATCTACAACTAACTAACTTGTAAAGTTATCTAAATTCAAGATGGCTACCACAGCTAATTGACTATAGGGGAAAAAACACAAAAATGGCAATAACTCAGTCAGTATTACACATATTGAGCTAAGATTTAGTGTTGAAGTAGCTGAGAGTCATATTTTGAGTGCTTTAAGGTAGCAAAACTTTGGCCTTAGTACTTGGAGTCATACCTGTCTGGTATACTTTAATGGCCACTTGCCCTTTGTATTTATTGTTGTGCTTTTTTAGTTAAACCGTTTCTTTTTTCCTTTGTTGCCTTGTTATCTTACTGTTTGCTTATGTCACGCTTACATGCCCTGTGGCCCCGCTTGTTTTGATTTTTCTGCTCCAGTTTTTGCGTGTGTGTGTATGTGTATGCTTCCATGTGTGAATGGTGTTTTACTTTGTTTTGCTGCCATGTCAGCATTTTCTTAAAGGCCTTTTTTAGTTATTATTTTTAGTAATCCATCTATGTGCCTGCATTTTGAGCCCTCTTTGCACATGCATGCTTAATCGACTTTAATATGGCTAAAACTTCATTATTAAAGAAAAAAACATCTATAAATGATAATTTTCTTCATGGTTGATATAAATCCTCAATGATAACCTTATTGAGCTACTTTCAGCTCCCCATGTTGAGAAAAAAAAAATCATCATAAAGCGTGACTTTTTTAATTTAACCTTCTCTCCGGTGAAAGTCAACATGCTAATCTTGTTTTCATGTCCTTGTCATATTTCTGCATGAGGACAAAACAAGCAGTCATCAGCTGCACATTATAATCTGTTTGATAACCAGCTGAAGAGTCAATAGTGTCTGAGAGACGAAGATGATGATGATGAGTGCGTGGTGGAGCGGGAGGACAGGCTGTTTGCATATTCATGCATCTGTAAACATTAAATGAGGAAAAGATGAAGAGTTACGGCTACGCCATTTCAATGCATGAAGGGATTCATTTTATTGCATATAAAATAGCTTAAATATGTATTTTTATTTATGGCTGTAGAATATATCATCAATAAAGCAGCTTAAATTTATGCTTGTGGGAAATTTGATGTTCCATTCTGAGACAAAGACATTAGATCTTGGCTTGTACAATTGTTCGTTATTTAAATAACCAACAGGAAAAAAAAGTATGCGGCTTATGAACCTTCATTAACAGTTTGCTTTTAATTACATAAGTTAAAACTAATTTTTTTGATGATAGCTGTGTTTTAACAAACTGTGACCCTTTGCCATGAATACTCAAGTCTGACAAGTGTGCAGACATTCAGAAAAGGTAGTCCATCAATCTGACCCTTTTCTGAGTTGAGTATTTTCAGTGTGTTAAATGTTGGTAAAATAAATAAATAAATCAATAAATAAATTTGTTTATTAGCTTTTAGCTTCTGGAATGCCATATTTCAAAATAAAAGTCCTTGATGAAATCAAACAATTAACCACTAAAACCATTGATAGTTTGTGAGATGAGACATGAGATTAAACTCATGAGATTACAACACCTTCTAATAGTTTATACTTTTTTAAGGCAATTAAATTAACACTTCAGGGGTTAACGTCAGGGATAAATACAGTTACTTGATTTTAAACTTTTAATTGTGGTGAAAAATGCACTAAGTAGATTGATAAAGGTGAGGAAAAACAAGAGATATAAAAAATTAGTAATAAAAAAATCACCAACTCTTACAGGAAAAAGCCTCCGAAACCTGTCGACATGAAATTTGTTCTCATAAAATATGCATACTTGATTTTTAAAGCTATAATAAATGATTGATGAAGCATTTTAGAGGCCCTTTGAAAACACAATATCTTAGAGGGGAAATGGGAAAAAACCTTCATCTGTGTGTTTATTCACCTTGAATGTTGTGGCGAATTGGTTTAAATGTGCCTCCTCCCTCTGCAGGTAAGGGAGACGTATTTGGGGACGTTTTCTGGAAGGAGGTGACTCTGGCTCAGGCGTGCGCTAACGTCAGAGCTCTGACCTACTGCGACCTCCACGTCATTAAACGTGACGCTCTGCAGAAGGTGCTGGAGTTCTACACGGCGTTCGCCAACCACTTCTCCAGAAACCTGCTGCTCACCTACAACCTGCGAAAGAGGGTGAGTGGCTCCACAGATGGCATCAAGAAGGAACAAATCAGTTTCTTCGTGCCTACAGTTTGACTTCATTCTGGTGTTTTCCTGTTCAAACTTAAGTTTAACTTCAAAAACTCTAGCTTCTTTGAAAAATATAATGTACTATATTAAATATAAACATAGAAAATATATAATTTCAGCTAAACAACATTAAAACCTAGTGACATTACATTTTCTACAAAGATGCAGTGGTAATATTGACAGGTGAGTGACTTTAATGAAATATGTTGAAAAATGAATTAACCAACTTGTTCAGTTTAACATAAGGTGGCAATATCAGCAAAACAATAGCTAAAAGTTAAAATCAGCACAACAGTAGCTAAAAGCCACAATTAAGAAAACTGTTCTGAATTAAAATATGCAAAAGTATCTAAAAGCTATATCAAAACAGTAATAACAAAAATTTGCAAAACTGTAGCTAAAATCTAAAATTAGCAAAACTACAATTAAATGCTACAGGTAGCTAAATATTAGTTAAAAGCTAAATGTTGCTAAATTATAGTTCAAGATCCAAATACAAAAGGCATAGGTCAAAGCTACATTTAGGAAAACGGTTCTAAAAGATAAACATTACAAAAAGCAGCTAAAAGCTGTAATTAGCAAAACTATTGTTAAATGCAAATTTTAGCACAATTGTAATTATCAACTTAAATTAGAAAAACATAACTAGAAAGCTAAAATAAGCTAAACCATAGTTGATTTAAAATAAGCAACACAGTTGCAAAAAGCTAAAATTAGCAAAATGGCAATTAGAAAATTAATTTAGCTAATAAAAACAAAATCTATGTAACAAAACAGTTGCTTAATAGTAGCTTAAAGCTAAAAGGAGCATAAGAAGACAAAAAAAGTGTAGCCTATTTGCTGAAGTAGATTTCATAGAACAGTGTTTTTTAAGATTCTGAAAATTTTTTATTTTGCTTTTATGTAGATTTTATGTAAATAAAATCAAACAAGTTAAATAAAGGTTAAAAATACTGAAAATTTTAACAGACTCGAGCCAAATGTTTAGATATATGAATGTTTAAAGTAGCACAAAATATGCAGAAATAGTTTGCCAAAAAGAGAGAGAGACAGCTGAGTCAAAAGGCGAAGCTCTCAATTTACCGATCGATCTACGTTCCCACCCTCATCTATGGTCACGAGCTTTGGGTTGTGACCGAAAGAATGAGATCTCGGATACAAGCGGCCGAAATGAGTTTTCTCCGCAGGGTGTCTGGGCTCTCCCTTAGAGACAGGGTGAGAAGCTCGATCATCCGGGAGGGACTCGGAGTAGAGCCGCTGCTTCTCCACGTCGAGAGGAGCCAGTTGAGGTGGCTTGGGCATCTGTTTAGGATGCCTCCTGGACGCCTCCCTGGTGAGGTGTTCCGGACACGTCCCACCGGAAGGAGGCCCAGAGGAAGACCCAGGACACGCTGGAGGGACTATGTTTCTCGGCTGGCCTGGGAACGCCTCGGGATTCCCCTGGAAGAGCTGGCCCAAGTGGCTGGGGAGAGGGAAGTCTGGGCCTCCCTACTTAGGCTGCTACCCCTGCGACCCGACCCCGGATAAGCGGAAGAGAATGGATGGATGGAGTTTGCCAAAAATGTGTGAAAGAAACTATGAACAGGAAAAAACACCTTAACATTTGTGTGTGTGTGTGTGTGTAGTGTGTGTGTGTGTGTGGGGGGGGGGGGGTCTGCTTTTCTTGACAGCTAAAGAAAAACATGGCTAACAAAAATAAACAGCCACAGAAGTCAGAAAAGTTTAGATTAAGGCCACATTACTTGAATATTGATCTTGAAGAGAATCAGTTTTACTCAGCACAGTTTGGCTTCACTCCATCATTACAGAGAAAACATGTCTAGTTCCTCTCATATTGGCCTAAAACTATTTACAGTAACACAAACGGCAGCTTTCAATAACATATATCCCTGTTTGAAACACAGTTTTAATATTATATAAGCTTTAAAAGGCAGGATGAGTTGTGCGATGTAGGCTAAGGCTGAAACACTTACACAAAACAGACAAGAATTAAATACTTTAAATTAATCACTAGCATTAATTTCTGAAGGGAAAAGATAATTTCACTGGGGCATTTAGCTTAAATATGCAGTGTGAGTAAAATATGATCTCTGATCTCTGTGCACCAGCACAGTTGGTGTTCTTTCTCTTGGCTAACAGTTTTAGTGAGTGAACCTCATGAGGGACTAAAAATACAACAAAGTTCAGCCATTTCCTTTAGGCAGCCACAAGTGCAGAGAGGAAAAAGTGTGTGTGCTGAGAAAAAAGAAGCAGGGACGTGTTAATACAGAACAAAAGCTGACTGTAGTATGCTGATAGAGTACCGTATTTTTTGGCCTATATGTTGCAGGGTTTTTTTTTGCCTAATTTGCACACCATGTGACTGATTTGCTGAAACGATGTATTTATGGATTTTTTCTCATATGTATAAACAAAATTTGGGCTGAGATATGACCGATTTCATTCATTCTGACTGAAAAAAGAAATTGAACAGTACCATTTTCAGCCACTAGATGGTAGCAGAGTAGTAGTAGTATGTATGGCATGCCATTGTATAATGTAATAGGTAAACGTGGCTATAATGACAAATTCAAAAATGTTCAAGACAAAAACAACTGGACTTTATTTATTATACTTTATTGTATACTTTATTGTTTTTGTCTGGAACTTTTTTTGAATTTACAATGTCCTGGAAGACTGAGAATCTTCACCAGCTATTAATGACACAATCAGCTTGCCGTCGCCCGCCACCTTTGTTCTGCTCGCTTCATGGAGCAAGTCAAACCAGCGACACAGCCCCAGCGAAATGCAGCTAACTTGACCATTAAAGTGCATTTATTATGTAAAAGTTCAACTGAGCCACACCTGTGCTATAATTTCGAGAAAACAGATAATTGTTTTTAGGGTTTATCTTGTTAAATTTCGAAGAAATGCAGAGGCTCATTCTTCTGCGTGTGCCCGCTGCTTCTGCGAATTGAGTTTTGGAATACAGATGATTTGACCGTCAAAGTTCATTTATTAAGCAAAAGGTAGACTGAGACACACCTTTACTATAATTTCGAGCAAACAAATAATTGTTTTTAAGTGTTAATCTTGTTAAATTCTTGTTAAAGTCCTCCTGTGCACGCTCCCGCGGCCGCCATTTGGCAGCCAATCGATTTTTGGCACAAGCTCGGCCCACATTTTACAGGTTGTCAACGGTGACACATAATAGATTAGACGTATACGGTGAAGCGACATATTTATGGATTTTTCCACTTTTTTAGACAAATTTGGACTGATGCAACCTATAGGGCGATGCGATGGGTACAGCAGAAAATATGATAAGAACAAAAAGAAAATCTTTCTTTGGACATTAATCAGTTCAGCTCTTATAAACTTTTTTCTGTGCTCATCTGAGCAAAGTAAATAAAATAGTGCTGTTGCATCATAACTTGGCTCAGGTGTCCCTCCACTTTTTTGCCTCCTCCAGTATTCTGGGATTTCTCCTCTCCACAATTCACCTTCATTTCGCTCCCACCTCTCTGCACCTTAAAGGAGGACTGGCTGCTTTTTCTGAGCATGCAGGCAGACACACTGCAAGAAGAAAAGAAAAACATGGTGTGCAATTTTTAGGAATAAAATTATTTCAACAAAAAAAATAAATAAACATTAAAATACATTTTTCTCAGCTGATTAACACTTTGCTAGATTCTTCCTGATGTCTTTCTCTTCCCCATGTAGTCACGTGCGTCACAGAACTATACTGTTCCCGACTCACAGCTTTGCTTCTGTTGTTGAAGAAAAAATAGAAGCTCCCGAGTGGCAGTTCTGCTTAAATATGGAGGACACATAAAGTGAACAGAGGAGACGGTGTAAAGTTTAGAAGCAGGCATTCAAATACAAAGAAGCAAAGTAGAAAGAGAGCAGCGAAACAGCCGTTCAGACTCTTACTGAGCTGAATGAAACACCCCTACAGAAGGTAGATCGCTCACGAGTCAATCAGTTAAAAACGTCAAAGCTTAATTAGCTCCAGTGTTGTTGTTTTTTCTAGCAGATTCTGTAATTCAATTTTGCATTTCGGCCACTATACTGTACACCTTCATCTGTAGCTCAGTTTTTACTTCTGTGGAAAATCGTTTAAAATGAGATCATGCAGAGATTAACCCAGAACTGTGTTCACCTCAAACCAGAGAGACTTACAAGCGCACACTGCTGTCTAAGGCTTTCAGAACATCGGCTCATGAGGATGAAACTCCGAGGCAGAGAAGAAATAATTAGCTGCTGGCTCCGAGAAGACCAGAACTACACACGCGGCTCTTTCCTCTCACAGAAAATCATACATTACTGCTATATTAAAGATCACAGCAAGGTGGATTTAACCTAACTGGAGTAAGAAACAGACCAGTGGATATGAAACAGAAGGGTTTCCTTCAAATACACGGCGCACGTTCTTACATTCAGAAACAACCAACAGATCTAATTGTTTCCCATTCAGTGTTAATATCAGTTGTTTTCTAATTATTACATGGAGCAAATCTTTAAAGTTCACTTTGTTTTTAGGATTATGAGATGATGTTGTGAGTAACTACTTCTGAGTTAATTCATTCAACCTTTATTTAGGTTTATGCAGGTTAGTCTCAGCGAGTCGCAAAGAGAGACCTGCTGTCTATGCAGCACAAATACTTTTTCAGGCCTCCTACCTTTCTCAGCAGAGTACAGGTACTTACTGTACCCTGAGGTTTTACTGTATGAGTGGAACTCTTTCTATAGCATCCTCGATTTGTTTACTTGTTAATATCTTTGCAGCTATAGCCTTTTTGACAAACCTTAGTTCAAGGTTTGACAAGCCTTGTTCCATCCTCACCAAATGTTTAGTTTAAATTAGTTTAGGCTTTTGACTTTCTGGCCATTCATAGAGAATTTGAGGAGAATTTCTGCCACAAATGTGGAAGTTTTATCTTATCTGATCTGATCTGATCTTATCTGATCTTATCTTATCTTATCTTATCTGATCTTATCTGATCTGATCTGATCTGATCTTATCTTATCTGATCTGATCTTATCTTATCTGATCTTATCATAGAGCACACTTTAGGCCCTGTATCTTTTTGAAGCATAAACTTAATTGGAGGGGGAAAAAAGAAACAATAAAAAAATAAAAATAAAAATAAATAAAGTAATTTTTTTTTTGGCTTGAATAAAAAAAAAAGAAACACTGCTGCTAATATTGCCCAAAATTATGAGCAAAAAAAGTTTCTTCCCTTTTTCCCCCTTGGTTTCAACATTAACATAGTGAAGTATGAGAAGGCAACACTTGTTTCACTTTAACTGGAACTCAATGATGCATAAGGCAGAAAAAGTGAGACTAAAGATCAAGTAACATTAGAATGAACATGTGCACCATTTGTTGTGATGTTTGCATATTTAATTGAATTAATCAAAGAACAGTCGTAGCTTTGGCACTAACAGTTTAAAACTGCTGCACATGGAGATGATTACTGAAGGGAAATACTAAATTATAGCTTTTGGTAAAAAAAAAAAAAAAAAGAAAAAAGGAACAACTGGAAAAAAACAACTGTTCTGTTGGTTTTGAACCAGTTTGACAAGACTGTTGACGAGGGAAAGGGCCGGCACCAGAGGAGGGGGTGCGCCAAAGAGACCATCTTAGCACCAAGATAACTGGTTTGTTCCACTTTGGAGGAAGCTGTTGGGGGAAGAATCAGTTTTGTGCTGTGTTTCCTTGGCTGATGAAGCCTTCTGGATGTAAAGTGAAACGTTTCAGCACAATAAAAAAAAACAACAAAGCAAAAAACTGTTTTTAGTATTACAGATTTTAAATTCAGTTCAGTTTTTCTTTATGTCCTATTATGTTTGGTAAATGATGAAAACGTATGTGTAAATAAAATATGCTACATTCTTCAAACCTTTATAGAATGTCACAATAACAGCCTCTGCACTTTGTATGAAAACACAGTTGAATTAAACCGTCTTGTCCTTCAGTTAAAACTGAACAGCTGTGATCAACCAGACAAGTTTAGCCACCAATCCTTACCTCATTCATCCAATCAGCCGGTCCAAGTCGGTAAGTGCAAGACTGAATTGTCTGCATATAAAGAAGCAATGTCTTCTGCTGGATCCAAGTCATCAATTACCAAAATCCCATATTGCCTAAAAGTATACAGCAGCAGGGAAATCTAGAATTGGATCAAGCTAGACACAGCTTTCATAAATTGCTTGTGAGATTGAGTTTTTAATAGACAATCTGCATCACAAAGGTCTAAGTTAAAATAATACTGTAGCCAGGAGATACAAAGAGAAATAGCCTTTTTCTCTAAGGGATGGATGCCTCTGTGTTAGGTGTGTTGTAATCAGGACTGGCAACAAGGAATTTTGTATCAACACGGTCATTTTTCCAACTCCACCTAACAGGAACATTTCCAAAGGTTTTACTTTCTACTGTACAACAGACATTAATGCTTTGAATTTTCTCACATAGATGTGCCATGATTCATATAGAGATGTCGGCTTTCTTAATCTATAACATCTTTGAGATTTCTTGTATCATTTTGTGTAATATGTACTGCATCATGCAGCCCATACGGATGGTTGAAATATAAAGCTCTAAAAATCAGTAAACAAATGTTGAGTTGACCATTTTCAAGACCCAAATTAACATCCATGCCTAAAAATAAGCATTTTCTTCCGCAACTAGTTTCCACAAGATTTTACTGGAAAGCATGAACAAAATATTAACATGTTTAATATGTTTGCTCTAAACTGAAAATTACCAGTTAGCTGCAGCTGGGTGGGAAGCAAACTGTATGTCTTTGACGGCTGAAGCCAAATACTTCATATGAACTTTCACTGTGTTTGGGGAACAGCCTTTTAAAATGTGGCATTTACCGTACTTGCCGCCATACATGTTGCACCGCCGTATAAGTCGTATCAGTCGTATCAGTCCAAATATGTTTAATAAAGTGGAAAAAAAACAAATATGTTGCTTTGCCATATAAGTCGCATCTATTATGTGTCACTGCTGACAGGTCACGTTTGTTATGCGTCACCGATGACCACCCGGAAACGTGGGCCGGTGTTGTGCTAAAAATTGATTGGCTGCCAAATGGCAGCCGTGGGATCGTGCACGGGAGGACTTTAACAAGAATTTAACAAGATTAACACTTAAAAACAATTATTTGTTTGCTCGAAATTATAGCAAAGGTGTGTCTCATGTCTCAGTTGAACTTTTCCTTAATAAATGCACTTTGACGGTCAAATCAGCTGCATTTCACCTGGGCGGCGCGGCAAAATGCAGCTGATGTTGATTGATTGATTGATTGATTGATTTTTATTGTCAATTCTGCATATGTACAGGACATACATAGAAATTGAAATTGCGTTACACTCCTACTCAAATTGCAGCAAACAACAACATTAGCAAAAATGAACTAACACAACTAGTTATATAAAAAAAATATAAAAAAATATAAAAGTGAACAGCAGCAGGACCTCTGATGCAACGTGCTCAATAGTGAAGAAGACAATAACATGATGAGAGGTAGATAATGGATGTGCAAGGCCAGAGTAAACAATAGTGCAATATAAAGTATAAACCTGAGAAACTTAGTAAAGTGAAGGTGTGCATACCGGTTCTATATAGAGTTACAGTTATGTACTGATGAGGTGATTAAGTGGAAATGACAATACCAGAATTACCAGAATAAAGAATAAAGAATAAACAGGACGAGTTGATCATAACAGTAGTGCAAAATATAATGCAATAAACAGTAGAGTGAGCTTGTAGGCTGTTAAAGTGACCGATTCATGAACTATTCATAAAACTAAATAAATGACCCAGAGCAGTTTTGAAGGGAGGGGGGGGCACATGTGATGTTTGCTCCAGGAGTTCTGGAGCGAGACGAAGGTGGCTTGGTATGGTAAGGCAAATTTCTCATTAATAACCACTTTTACCTATTAATGAGACACTTGGCTTTCATATAGTCGAGGGCCCTCTATTGGATTAAAAATGGTAGTGTTCAATATTTTTCATGTCAGAATGAATGAAATCAAATCTCAGGCAAAAATTGGGTTATAAACGTGGAAAAAAAATTAAATATGTCACTTCGCTGTATAAGTCACAGGCATGCTAATTTATGCAAAAAAAAAATGCAACTTATACAGTGAAAATTATGGTAAAAGAAACACACATTTTGAATACTTAACAGTCTTCCTCAGACGGATGGTGGTCAAAAGGATAGACCCTCAAATTACTTTTGTTCAGTTTAAATAAGAGGGGGTGGTTTGTGTGAAGGACATACAATAATGTGTATGTATTGTCATCATTGTATGTTCCCATGCAATGGCAAAATTGGATCTCTGCATTTAACCCATCCACCACCAGGTAGAGCAGTGGGCAGCTGTTGGAGACATCTGGGAGCAATAGGGTGTCCTGCTCAGAGACACCACGGGATGTGCAATGACTGAGGATCGAACCCAGGACCTTCAGGTTCCAAGTCGGCTGCTCTGCGTCTGCACCATCTCAGCTCCCTAGTTAGTTTCTTAGAAGTTTAAAGGAACTTATTGTAGAATTGTAAATTACTTTGTGTTTGCATCAGATAAATATTTGCAGAAAAGCATCTGTATTGCAACACTGTTCACTGTCCTTGTAATGCAGCCTTAATTGTGCGCAACACGTACAATTCCTATATACTTTCCACAACTCCACTTAAAAAAAATCCTTTAGGAGAGTAAATAGACTTTGAGAACAGGGCTTTTTTTTCCTGTCTGCTGTGAATTACTAATGCTGTGTGATGGTTGCTATCCTAATCATGATACCTTTAAATTCCTTTGTAGATTGTCTTCCGGAAGATTAGTGATGTCAAACGCGAGGAAGAGGAGCGACAACGGCGCAAAAATGAAGCCCCTTTGAACTTGCCACCAGATCACCCAGTTCGAAAACTCTTCCAGCGCTTCCGACAGCAGAAGGAAGCCCGCATGGCAATCGAGAAACCAGACACAGATGAACAAGATGTCGAGAAGGGCTCGGTCTATGTGGACATCCCGCTGGCTAAAGCAGCCATTACAACTACCAGCATTGTCACAGTAACAGAAAGTCCAGCTACACCTTCCTCTTCAGTTCCTTCACCTTCAACACCTCCCAACTGCCCCCTCTCAGATACAGCAAAACTGCAGGTGCCCTCCACCATTTCTTTGGCAGGGTGTCGGCCTGCTGAACCAGTCAAAGTCAAAGGCTGGGGTCGCTTCAAGGAGTCGATTGCGAAAGCTGACAACTGGAACAAAGTGTCCAAAGCAGAATCCATGGAGACTTTACCTGAGAGGACCGCAGTGCACGAGTCACAGACGTCTCTAAAGAAGACGGACTCATGTGACAGCGGCATCACCAAAAGTGACCTACGCCTGGACAAAGTGGGTGAGTTCCGCATGACTCCTCAGGACCGCAGTCCTGCCCAGCCTCCAGAAACCAGGCATGCCTTCTACCCCATCCCTGAGCAAACACTTCAGGCATCCCTTCAGGAGCTCAAACTGGAGCTGAAGGATGACCTTAAGAATCTGAACGTCCGAATGTCCAGCCTCGAGGCGAACCTTGCAGAAGCACTTAAACTCCTCAGAAGCAGGAAATCAAGCACTGGCTCTTTGCAGCCTCTGTTTGACATTTCTAGACCTGGTACACCAGAACTGGACAAAGAGGACATTTTTTCTTGAAGGACAAAAGCATCATCAGGTAACAGGGATCCCTGAACTCAGCTGGAATCCAGTAATGCTTAGATTGCTTGGATAGCTGAGGCTGCACAAGGCACACCATCTATGTTGGGCATCAGTGTGGTCTGTAAGATGCACCAGCCTTTAGAATAGGATGTGTCTGCTGCTGGTTTATGTGAGACCGTAGGCAGTTCAAGGTCAGAGCCAAGATTATGGCGTTGTAGCACTGAACACTTGAAGGTTACGTAACAATAGACAGATTTAGGTTTGTACATAGTTTATTTTTCCACTGCACTACGTTGGAAAAATATTTTTGCTCTGTTTGGTTTTATCAACAGTGGAGCTTACTGCAGAATCATATCTGTTGTGAGGCCCCAATGGAGGCAGCATGACCCACTGCTTTATTATTGAATCATTTGTATGAGATTCTTTGCATGTCATATAAAATAGATGTGTACTTCTTATTGCAGATGGGCCTTATTTGATGAATTGAGGCTGCACAACGAGTCATTTGCATCATTCCACACTGACAGTGGGGAAAGAACAGACGTTGCAGATGTTAAAACTATCTCAGAGTCGTTTCCTCAGACACATCTCTCATTCAGATCTGCCAGGATCAGTATGAATTATACAACAGATTTCTCTGGCCAGGCAATCTGATTTTCCAAAAACATGTTTGAGTGGAGCTTACAATGTAATTACCATAAACTGCTAATAGATGTACTCGATGGAAAATGAATTTAAATGTTAACTAGTGAGGCAGCGATGAGGAAGTCATCCATCTTTCCTGAAGTCTAAAATTTCTTAATCATCTGTAAACGCAATCCGCACATACATCATTCGATATTGTGTGGAAGTTATGCTATTTTAGCTTTGGAGACGGGTTTAGAAATGTGATTATGCAAATGTGTTTTTCCTTTGATATGCTCATAAACACAGCAAGGAATGCTCGTTAGCATAAAAACATATATATTTCACTAAAATATGCTCTTACGACAGACATTCAGACAACCGAGTCATCTGCATCTGGCAAAGTAATAACTATTGTTGTTAAATGTCCCTCACCCTTTTATAAACGATTCAAACCAGCTGCCACCAAGCATGATTTAAGGTTTCTCTGTTCACGTTCGCTCAGCTTTTATTCTGGAACTCCAACAGAAGGATGTTGCATGATTCAAGGTTTAAAAATTAACCCTCATTTGTCATACGGTGACTTTTTAATTCAGCTCCATTGTTCATTTTCTGTTAGAAATTAGCTCATGCTCCCTTTTCGAAGTCCTTCTATTATATGACTGACCAAACATTTACTGATATCCAGTGCACTGATGCTTTGGTGCCGCGCAATATGGACCTACTGTTTCTGTTACACATAATGGCTTAAAAATAGTAAATGGACTGTACTTATATAGTCCATTAATAGTCAATTGACGTGATAAAAATATCACTATAAGAAGAATATGCGCTCATTTTTATTTATTGGCAAACACCAGCAAGTTAAAACGCAGATAATTTGGCAATTGATAATGGATAAATGAATGATATTGCATGTTTACATCACATTACTTACCGGTACATACTTATATTTCATGTTTAAAACAATCATGTATATACCACAGAATCCCAGCATGAACTAAAACCTTATTGCACCATTAAATGCAACAACTTCTTTTACCTCTTCAAAACTAAGAAACTGAATGTTTATTCTTAATAAGTTTATTATTATTATTATTTAAAAGTAAGCGTACAACTATCACTACGTTTAGAGATGACAACACATTCCTCCAGATTTTAGAAGCCTGTAAAATAATTAAAAGTAGCAATTACATCTCAAACATTTGTTGTTTTAAGTACAGTTTGAACACCTTTAAACAGTTTTAACACACAAATGATGTCACGTGTAAACAAACTGCACACCTCTGTTGATCTCATTTTGAGTTAAATGTTTATACCATTTCTTAATTAATTTATTAATTAAATAACATGTTTTGCACCATGTGGCATTTGGATTTCAAATTTAGAATTTAGTTAAATAAACTATAATTTCACTCCAATTTCAGATGAATAAAAATGAATGGGCAATATTTTATTTTATTTATCAAAATTGACCAAATTTAAAAAAAAATTTATATGGATGACGAGAAAAACTAAAGGTAGTTTTGCAGTAATAAATACACAAGTTCTGAAAAAAATATGCATCAAATATGAAATAATTCAGAGCCAAGAGTTCTGGTTTCAAGCAATAAAAGCAACATATTTAGCCTGTAAAAGTCATTTATTTATTTTGACTAAAGGAGAAAGAGAGTTTAACGATTGTAAATGTATCAAATCTTTAAATAATTCTGCTGTTTTAAGCAGACGAAAGTCCAATTAAATGAAGTAAAAAAAAACAATATGTCACAGATATCAACACTGGACAAGAGCTCTGATGGGATTTTAGATTTCCACTTGTTAAATCAGGAGTTCTGTTAAATCACTCTTCAGTGTGTAGTAAGTTTTCTTTTACTTCTTTTACAGCAAGGGTGAAAAACCTGCTCTTTAATATTAATTGTTCATGTGGATACTTTACGTTGCCTGCAAGCTTTTCTTTTCACCCAGACAAAAGCTAAAATGGACACAGCTGAGTGGGAAAACATGCTGAGGTTTCATTGCTTTTATTTCCATAAAAAATTCAGCTTGCATAAATAAACAGGCGCTGAAGCGAGAACTTGTTTGGTTTGGAGTCAGAGTTCGTGGTATTATTTTTGCTTTCATGGGAATTTCAATATCTGGATAGACACAGAAATCTGTGGCCTCTCAAACTACTGATAATTTACAAAGATGCTGCTCACATGGTTTAAAACAAGCGGGAAAAGAGTTCAAATCACATTCTTGTGAATTAAAAAAATAAAAGTTATTTGCCAAAATGGCAAATAACAACTTGATCCAAGTAACAAAATGAGTCATTTATTTTTATCGCATTAACACTTTCCACCTGTTTTGATGCATCCATCCGTTACCTTTTTCCCGCTTCTTCCTTTTTTGGGTTGTGGGGGTCACTGGTGTCCACGTCTAGCAGTCACTGTGCGAGAGGTGAGGGACAACCTGGACAGGTCCATCACAGGGACACATAGAGACAAACAAGACAAACAACAATTCACTCTCTCACTCACACCTAGGAACAATCTAGAGTTACCAATCAGCCTAACATGCATGTTTTTGGTCTGTGGGAGGAACCTGGAGTACCTGGAGAAAACCCACGCATGCACGAAGAGAACATGCAAACTCCACCCAGAAAGGTTCCAGGCCGGGAATTGAACCGGCAACCTTCTCGCTGAGGCAATAGCTCTACCAACTGCGCCACCCAGTTTTGATACAAAGTAATTGAAAATGAACATATTTTAATTAACTTGCAATTTTTTATTTATTTATTATTATTTAAAATAGGAGGTAATTGAAAACGATTACTTGTTGCAATATAGTGAACAAAAAAAGTTTGTTTTATTTGAACTTTTTATTTTGGTTGTCAAAAAACATTTACTATTTTGCTTATTGCCAAGATAGTTCTGCATGCCAGATGGGGAACAAATAAATAAAGACATAAAACAAAACACTCCCTTATTAAACTGAGCTCTTTTGGGGTGGGGGTGGGGGGCTCCTGTGTGGCTCCTGGGCTTCAGGCAGCAGAGAGAAACTACAGCACCTGCAGATTTTAAAGTACAGCATCAGAAGCAAGTTAAGTTTTAAAACCAATTTTCAGGGTCTATTTTGACTTTTTGTGAGGATGTCATGAAGGAAGATGAGAAGATTAATACCACAGGGGCTTCTTTTTAGACACAAACTGCAGAAATCTGGGCCTTTCACACAAACCAGCTGCCTGCCTGACTGCAGAGCGACAGAAGTGTGAGCTCAGCTTTTTGCAAACGAGCCACGCGCGTCAGGGTGGAAGCCACTTGTAAGGATACAGCGTCGCCTTTTTAGAGAAAAGGAGAGAGTTTTAAATGCGATTGCGACAATTATTTCATTGATTTTGAGCAAAGAGATTAAACAGCAGCAACAGGAAGTGAAGTTTATTAAATGACGGATACGCCAGTCTAAACAAAGTCAGTAAAGACGCAGCATACCCTCGCTTCTACAGATTAGAAAAAACATCCAGGTTTACACATACACACAGGATCAGATGTGTTTGTACCCTCCCCTTAACCCTTGTACAAAGTATTATGGTGAGAAAAAATACATTTATTATGTTACGGGTCATTTTTACCCGTATTGTGTAAATCCACTCAAAACAGTCAAAAGTGAAGTTAAACCAATAAGAACTTTATTTTAGACGATACAAACATTTAGAAGAGATATACAATTCCAACACGATATTAAAGAAAATAAACTACAATAATAATAATAAAAACTAAAAATCTACCAATGAAACGCCTCAGAATTTTGGTTAATCAAAATCAATAAAACTTGTCGACAAAAACGATTGTAACCTTGACTTAATGTTTTGTCGCATGACCTTTTGTGGGAATCACTGCAGTCAGATTTCTGTAAGTCTCTCTGAGACTTCTGCACCTGTCCACAGGTATTTAGACCCATTCCGTGTGAAAAACACTTATTCAGTTGTAAAGGTTGTCATCTCCAGACTGTAAGTTTCAGCTCCAGATGTTCAATAGGATTGAGACCAGGGCTCAGAAGGCCACTTCAGAATAGTCCAATGTTTTGTTCTTGGTCATTCTTAGCTGTTTTTAGTTTTGTGTTTAAGTCATTATCCTGGAGGACTCATGATCTGTGACTGAGACCAAGCTTTCTGACACTGGGCAGAACATTTAACTCCAGAATGCCTCGATAGTCTTGAGATTTCATTGCACCCTGCGCTGATTGAAGACACCCAAGCAGCTCCAGAACACCCTCCTCCATCTGTTTCTGCAGGTGCAGTGATCCTCTCTTTCTTTCAGTTTGGACTCTGTGAACTTAGAGCTGATGTGGCTTGCCAAAAATAACAGATATTCATTATTTAAGGGTACACGTGA